TTGACACAAACCCTGTGATTTAAAGGCCTGAGGTGTAGAAGCTGGACAAGTTAAATGATTATGTTGTCATTGAATATACCAGTCGTTGTTTATTTAAAGTCTCTTAAACCTTCAGAATAATTTATTATAACAAAACAAAATGGTAGGAAGATGTGTTCAAGATGTTGGTAAACACATAAAATATTATATGGAACCGTTTCTTCTAAAAAAGTGAAAATGTGAATTGAAGTGTGACAACCTACAAGAAGTACACAGCAGTAACACAGACTTGGGTAATGTAGACTGTTGCGGTTTTAATTATCAGAAGGAATAAACCACATATGTTTGATTGTTTCACTGTTCTGGACTTTTATTCCTGTTAAAAGCACATAGTAAAGAAGCAAGATGTAGTTCAACAGGTGAATGATCAGTATGAATCTGGTTGATGTGGTTTCATGACATAGTTTTAGAGTTGAAACTGTGGTCAGGAGAGACGTGGGACTGTAAATGGCTCATGGCAGTGCGTGGTCCAGCTGGCATGGGTGCATCTGTTCATTGTTTCAGTTTAAAGCTGGCGTAGCACACTATTGCTGCCACTACAATGCTAGGGAAATGCCTCGTTAACATGTAGCTTAACATTGTTAAAGCCAAATAGTAATTACAAGGCCTCACAATTGAAAAAGAAAACAAGAGGCTTATGACCATTTTGCAATACAGTTCATCCTTGACCACCATGACCTGTCATTCACCTAGGCTTTGATGAACAAAATAATCTGTGACCTTTTACAGACAGAATTTGAAGTAACAAGTGAAAAGGAAAGGGAAAAAAACAAAGAGGAAAACGAAGGCGAGTTTCAAGACAAGGCTTATCTATGTTCTGTCTCCATGTTTGCCTATGTTTGCAATGACAAAATTACTCTTGTGAGTAAACAAGTACAAGGGAAAAAGAATCATCACAAACGGGGAAACAATGCTCAGTCATGATCTTTCTTGTTAACTGGAAAAATTCAGGCAGCTTGATCCACTAGCATTCTATCCCTATTGGAAAAAGTTAATGGAAGTAAACAGTACTTTTAATCATTCCAACAATTTAAATTTGTGTGTGAGGGACAAGTAGAGGTGGGTGTGCACATGCAGTATGTGCATGTGTAGGAACAGAGAAAACAGCTTGCTAGTCGTATTCCTATCATCTACCCCAAGCAAATACTCAGAATTACACAGAACCGAGAGATCTGAAGGGACCACATCAGTCAGCGCAGGGAACCCATCAGGGGAATGTCTGCCATATATCCTCACATGGCGGGCAATTATAGTCAGCTTGAGAAGGTACAGGCAATCAGTTCAGAGTCCGTACTCAGCCTGAGGATCAGGAGGAAGTCTAGTCAGACTTTGGAAGAGCACTGAGCTGCTGTGACCTGTGGCTGTCAGCTCCATGTGTGCGCTTCAGCACAGCACAGGACATCTGTCTTCTGGTACCAAGAGTTAACACCTGTTTCCAGTGGCTTCAGGGACAAACTCCTGGTTTCCAGAAGGGTCCTAATTGCACAATGTTTGCACTAAGCTCCTCCACATGCTCAGAGACAACAAAGAGAAAGTCACAGCTACTGTCCAAATGGCTGAAGACTGTCAGTTCCATTGGCCGAATTGTGGGCATGATCCTCAGAAATTCTATTTCATCAATATTTGTTCTGTTTCATCTTTTTTCTTCATTTGGCTCTAATTTTTAACATGTCTGTTTAATGTTTAATGGTGGAAATTACGCAGCAGGTGACGTAGCAGTACAAGTAGTTGTGGAGAACAGCCTGGTCAGCTGAATGCATCAGGACCTCTGGTTTTGTAAGTACTGCACATGCGTTTTTTTCTCAGAGATTTGCAAATAAGGCTTTCTGCAGTTGATGCAGTTTTCGTGTTAGGTTAATTTCATTTTTCTGCTTGTGACTTGGTTGTGTGTGGAGGTTGCAATGAAATATTAATCAAGTAAACATGCAAATGGACAAGTGGGACCTGCTGTTCTGTTGGATATGCTTAGCCTGAAATAAAATAACCTTTGAAATCACGGGGACTTATTAAGTAGTTGTTAAAACAGAATACTGATGAAAACACATTTTAGATTGGCAATACCCTTCACACAGACTCAAAACTAGCATAATCCCACTAGTGACTGAAGAACCAGATCTAATGGATAAACTCTTCCGGTGACAATGTTTAAAACAATCATTGAATTGCTAAGGCCAGGCTCTCTAATTAGGACTAAGGTGAGTGTAGGGGGCGGGTGGAAGGCCACAATTTAAATTTAATTACCCCTTTTATTCCTATAGACAAACTAATATCTGATTTGGTAGAGAATGATTTTCTAAATTTCTAATTTGCATATTTAAATACAACCTAGATTTAATATAGCCTTCCAGTTTCTTCAGCTTTGAAATGGTAAAAAAAAACAAAAACAAATATATTTGTAGCTGAAATTTTCTAATTTCAAAATGCTGAAATTAATATGATTAACACCTCTAATGGGCAAAGTATGCAGGGAAAACTTGATGACCATATCAAGTGTTTTCCGGCTTCTGGTCAAAGTACTATAATATTTCTGTAGAGAGCTATGATACTAAGGTAAGTTTTTTAACTGATCTGTTGTAGAAATTTTAAAAAGCCATTCCTAATACAAACTTACTGCAGAAAAACTATACTCTGTGCTTCAAAAATTCTTTGAAATTCAGACTAAGCTCTGTTTGGACCCAGGAACTGGTCATGGACTGACAAAAATTATCCTCTTTTTCAATTAAGGGTGCAATATCTAAAATAACTAAAGAAGAACGATCTGTGATATATTAAAGGGCAAATACTTTTGAAATGCCCTCTGTACTACATGATTGCTTTATTTGTCTGCAGTAAATACAGGTTGTTTTGTTTGAGGTTGTTGTTTGTTTGTTGTTTTGTTTGTTTTGTTTTGTTTGGGTTTTTTTTTGACTAGTAGGAAACCTTTTGATTTAAGAAAATTAAAATTTAACACTACCACTTCTTACTGCAGGTCACTGCAGTAGTCACCACCTGCTTTTGGATATGCTCAACATATTCATGTCTTAGCAAATATGAGAACATACAGCTAGTGTATACATTTGCTTTAAAACTAAGATCACCATACAAGTGACAAAATAAAGCAACTGGTTAATCAAGAACCCTGGAACTTTGTCTGCCATCAGAAACTCTATTTAAATCTTGTTTAGAGAGTAGATACAGTCATTTTTCACATCTGGGAACGAATAAAGGATCAAGAGAAGTTCAACTTGCTGGGACATGGGAAAATGCATTCCTGGAAGAGAAGGATACAAACAGGCTGTGCTCACTGGAAACTAGAAAAGGAGCCATAACAGTAGAAAAGTTCTAGAAATATTTTCACATAGAAGCTGTGAGGGCAATAAGCATTTCATAGAGAGCTTGTTATGTTTCTGAAGAGGATTTAGATGACATACCTGCTCAGAATAGGAGGGAACGGAATTCAGTTAACTGGACTTGTTTCCAGCTCCTACGGAGGGCACGAGGCTCACGTGAAGTATGTTGTCAGTATTAGGAGAACGAGCATAACAAAAAAACTTGTAATCTCCAAGAGGATTAATGAGTGTCCTTTTATTTCCAAGTGGAATCTGTGCATCTCTTCTCCTCTTGGACTCAGGTCCTTCTTGTGTCTCTAGAGGGAGCTAGATATCCTTCACAGGTTAGCCCCTGGTAAGGAGCAAGCCACCATTTAACAAGTTACAAACACTGGTTGCATCCCCACCTTCAAGGGAAAGGAGATTCCCTTCATTCCAAACATGCACTTCATCATCTAGCACAAATCCATCTGTCTTTATGCCCACTCCTGAGAGCTCTGCTGCCATGGCAGAGTGCTACAGGCTTTTGCTTTGAATTTTGCCTTGAAGGTTATGTAGATGACATTCATCCATCACTTATCTGCTGTGACCAATGACTGGCCATGTGAGTACGTAACTGTGAAGCAGTGAGTTTAACAAACACCGGATAGTCCATGAAAGCTGTCTGTCTGTGTGCTCTTGCCCTGATGAAAGTGAGGGAATCTACTTCATTTCCAGTGAGAACTGAGACGCCTCACATTTCCTCACATTTCCCAAACTGCATTTCACAGACAGACTGGTTTGGGTGGGAAGGGACCTTTCAAGGACATCTAGTCCAACCCCCTGCACTGAGCAGGGACATCTGCAACTAGAGCAGGTTGCTCAGAGCCCCGGCCAACCTCCCCTGGAATGGTTCCAGGGATGGGGCAGCGACCACCTCTTGGTGCAACCCGGGCCAGGGACTCACCACCCTCAGCATCAAACATTTCTTACTTCTTAGTATAAATCTCCCTCTTTTAGTTTAAACCCATCACCCCTTGTCCTGTTCCTGCATGGACAGTACCCCTGAAGGTGCTGCAGTGAGTTTCCTCTGCAGACTGTGACAGCCTTGGAGGACACAGTGTCCAAGGTGGCGGCCATCATCTCAGCATCACTCGGGGTGGTGGCCAGGCAAAGTGAAGACACACTGCCACTGTGCCCCTCCACACAGCACAGCACAAGGGCCCTGGGCTGTTTAGAGAGGTACTGTGGAGTATTTGACATCTCTGAAGCCCATACCCTGTCTTATACCTCAAGGTAACTTGTTTAGATGTGCCCTATAGGAGACAATGAACCAGGGAAGACAATGTCATTGTTAATAAAGATTATTATGGACTTTGGCTCTATACTTTCATTGTCAATGAATAAGAGTATTGCTTTTTCAGGGCAGCTACAATGGAACATTACGGTTTTATAATGCCTGACATTTAAATTTATAATTTCTTGAATTTATTAATGACATGTGACATTGTGTCCATGGGCACTTTAAATATCCTATGTGAATTAGATCTTTACAGTTGCACTATATCATACTTATGATAACAAACTATTCATTATTTCTTACTGCCAAGATCATCTTTGTCATCTGCTCATCTAATGACTGTTTATTTTGTGACAGAATAATTTGAAAAGAAGATGAAGTCTCTCCTGTGCCTGTGTTTACTCCTTGCTGTTCTTTGTGCCATAACCCATTGCCACCATGAAGACATTTGCCATGAAGCCACTAATACCAATTTGCACGATGGAACAGAAAATTTATTAACACATAACTGTGAGAAGAAAGGCTCTAACTATGCAGATTTTGTATTTAGATTTTATAAGCAGGCTGTATCAAAAGAAGCTGATAAAAATGTTTTCTTTTCTCCCATGAGCATCTCCACTGCATTTGCTGTCCTGGCTGTTGGTGCTAAGTCAACTACCCTGTCTCAGATTTTTGAAGGACTGGGCTTTGACAACCTGACTGAGACTCGCATACATGATATACATGAAAGTTTTCATAAAATTTTAGCAGTACTGAACTGCACTGATGTTAACATCACATTAAACATAGGGAATGCCCTTTTTACAGCTATTGGGTATGAACCACAGGAGACATTTTTACAAAATACAAGACAATTTTATGATGCAGATTTTTTTTCTAATGATTTCCATAAACCAGAAGAAGCTAAGAAGCAAATCAATAAATACATAGAGGAGAAAACCAAGGGAAAAATTCCTGAATTAATCAGTCATCTTGATTCAAGAACTATACTGGTTCTTGTTAACTACATTTATTTTAAAGGTAAGATGTTTAACATAATTTTCCAATAGATGATTTTGATTTAAAAAGAAATTGTAGGGAACTCTTAATGGTTTATTAGCAATGTAACTATTTAAGAAAGAGCCAACCTGTGCAGGACTTTCGAAGTAAAGATTAGATCTGGTCAAAATCAGGGTATCTGATTGTTGAGAAATACCAATTTCTTGATTTTTGTGGACAGAGAAGTCCCACTCTAGTGAACTGTCTCATAGTCATGCAACTTTGCAGGTCTGAGGGTATAATGACTAAAAACATTTCCAAGACCTCTATGCTGACTCTACTTGTCAGTCAAACATAGAGGACTGACATCCTTGCACTTCCAGGAGGTTGAAGTGATCAAGTGATCACTAAATCAAGCGATCCTCTTCTCTCATAAACAGCCCTCCAGTATCCTAACATTTGAGTCAGTCTGATTTATATCAGCCATTTTTTATTCTCTTCACATGTCTGAATGCAATATCTTCTGTTCCCCCATTAGCTGCCTGGAAAAAGTCTTTTGATCCTTTGCATACACACGAGGATGTTTTTTTTGTGAACACAAACACATCTGTCAGAGTCAACATGATGCGGCGTGACAGCATCTATGAGAGTTACTATGACGATGATCTCTCTTGTGAGGTGATAGAGCTGCCCTACCAGGGCACTGCACGAGCATTGTTCATTCTGCCTGATGATGGAAAGATGAAGCAAGTGGAAGATGCCCTCTCCAAGGAAACTGTTTGCAAATGGGAAAACAAACTTGAGTCCAGGTAACTCTAGGTAGCTGGATTACTGTCTCTGAGGAAAAACCATTATTTTTAAAAGGAAGCATTAGTTTCAGATTGCCTCCTCTTGGGTATAATGTCCTGATTTCATAAAGTACAGCTTTAAGTGATTCTGAAGATGAGTCAGAGCAGACTGTAATCAACAACCCATGGCAGGCTCTCTGACCCGACAGAAGGGACCACAGCATTGTAACAACCGCCTCAAGACTTGCTTGTTTGCCCTTTGGCTACCACACTTTTTCATAGTGCTAACATAGCTCATCTGCTTCACGGTGTCTTAGACTTTATCCTCATTCTCCTTTCTTTTAGAATTTCCACAGCTGGTCTGCTTACTCTCTGTAGCACTCTAGCCACAAAACTCTTTGAGATGTGTGTGTAGCACTGGGATGAAAGAGTGGCAGTGAAGAAACTGGTTTCTTTTTCCAAAGTCAAAGAGAGAATGTAGGTACAGGAGGATGATGTATTTTTCTGAATGACAAAATTGATCAGGGAATACAAATGCTGCCATTAACCAAATTAGCAATCAAAAGAATGCATTCAAATGTCACTGAATTGCATACTATCCAGCCTGCTGGCTGAAACAAGGCTGCAATGCTTCACTGCTGTTTTGTTTTCTTTGTTCAACAGGATGTTGGACCTGCAGTTACCAAAGCTTTCTATCAGTGCATCTTATGATGTTAAAAACCTGTTCATAGAAATGGGCATTACTGAATTATTCTCTAGCAATGCAGATCTGTCTGGAATTAGTGGCAGCCGTGATCTTCAGGTTTCAGAAGTAAGTGAACAGACCGAGCTGGGGATGAAGTGATGTTTAGTTACTCTGATCAATTATATCCAGGGCTTTTAAAGACTTGCTTTCTCTCCTTGTCCTACTGAAGTTATAAGTAAAAATCATAACGACATGTAGGGGCTTGCTTAGTAATTGTGTTTTTATACAGAGAGGGTCTCTGCTGTCCCGTCTTTGTATTATTTTAATATTTCTATTAAAAGGCTGAATATTAAGGACATGGAAAAGTTGGACAAGATTTTAAATTATTTGTTGGCACTGGATTATAATATTTTTACATGAGATTGTGTCAAGTAAACAATAAATTAGGAGTATATTATGGTTTTTGGGTTGATCAGTAGATAATTTGTAAATATTCTCAGTTTCTGTGAAACTTCTAGTTTGCAGTGGCAGAATTTCACCACATCAGTTTAAGCTACAACTTAGTGTGGCAAAGATGACAAATACTGCCCCACTATTAGCCTTTAGAAAGCACTCTTCCATTAGCCTTGGAGTAACAGAGAAAGTCTTGCTAGTGGAAGTCCAAACCATCTAAGAAAATAAACCAGCTAGTGCATGGACTGTTATAACCCCTCTGCTCAGCGCTGGTGAGGCTGCATTTAAAGTGTGTCTATTTTCACTTTTGGCCCTTCCTGTTCAGTTCTGACATGGGAAACAGTCCTGTTGTAGGCTATTGGAGATCTACCATGCAATAAAATTTAGTCCAGTGGACATGATCGCTGCTTTTTCCTCCTAAATATTCCATAAAAGGAGAGTTTATCTTCACCCCTTGCTTGCTGTCCCATATATAAATAAAAGCGTTTGCTCCTTTTCTCCTCAGGCAATTCACAAGGCCCTGCTGGAAGTTGATGAGGCTGGAACTGAGGCTGCAGGAGCCACAGCCATAATCATTAACAGAGCTCACCATCCTGTTACCATCAAATTCAACAGGCCCTTCCTTATACTGATTTATGACAAAGAAACCAGCACCACACTTTTCATGGGGAAAATTGTTGATCCTACTAAGAAGTAATTGCTGAGTTATTTGGCATACTGGTTTTTGTCATCAGTTCACATATGTGGGCTAGTTAGTGCCACTACCCTCTGATTGGGGGATATCTGGAAGTGAATGAGGAATTTCCTTTTCCAATTAATAAGAAAAAAAAATTGCAAAAAATACACCAACTGACAGTTTTTAACTGTCCCCCAGCTGAGTAATCCAAGTTAATGCATTTTCTAAATTTTCCTTGGAAAATTTTTTGAAAGTCTGTTGTTATTTTTACAAGTGAATTTTCTCTGCTAAGTGATTTTGTCTGGACTGCTTTCAGTTCTGGGTTACTCATAAAACGCATTATCTCAAGAGGTTGAAAGTCCTTTGGAATTCTATTATATCTTCTCCAGGACTTGCTGATGATCAGTATGCACCTGAGTTCCTCCCTACAGAGTCCTTTCTTCCTTACACAGCTCTTTGCTGCCTGGTCCATTGTAGTTCACCCTCAATCAATCTGTTATCTCTCCAATGTTCTCAACCTTTGGCTACATTGTCTTAAAAAACATTGACAAAAAAAAAAGAGAAAATTCCTAAGACAGTAGACTTTGAGAGACAGAGATATTAGGCATAAGCTGTCAAAGAACTGTCATATGACACTCGTCTATGAATTATTGCTATGACTAATGAATAAAATAAACATTGCCATTTAAATGCATCACTTAAGGACTGACTCCAGTCTCTTGCTGTCATTCTATAAATCTCTTAAAATCAAAAAAATTCAGTTGCTTTTATTAACATAGCAGGATGTCGGTAAAATACGTTTTAAAGGCTGTTAAATTAGTCAAACTTTTCTCATATGGAGGTGGTTATTCTTTCATTCTCTTCTTATTTTCCTACTTGGGTAAAACCTGTTTTCAGGACACCTATTGATTACTCTTGGTGTTGTGGGTCTGCAGATTACCCAGTCTTACTGCAGTGGGGAACTGGGATACTGCTCAGGCTTGCTGAACTCTATAGTAAACCCTTTATCACACAGCTGATGCCTCAATGAAAGGCTGACTCCTGCTTTACCAGCTGCTCTCTGACTGCACTGTTTTGACTCTTGCCATTCCATATTTACCCCGGATAAATTTTTTGCAAATGGGGTTTAGTCACTCTCCGTGGGAAGATGATGCACCTGAATGTACATTGCTCATTTCATCAGTGGTCCTGGCAATGTGCTGCGAGCACTGCGATGGCGATGCAAGCCCCAGATGAACAAAGAAGCTCCCTAGCCCTGACATCAATCTGTCCCTCTGACCTGTTCTCCCAGAGTTGGTCCACCCTTCACAGAGGTGCTTTATTGAGATCCAGCAGTGTTTGTAGCATGGTTTTGGTTTATGGGGGGCTGTGCTTCTGACTCACAGAGACTTGGAGATTGCTGAGTCACATGAGTCCCTTTGCTCCAAGCACAAAGAACTCAGTGGAAGCTCTGAGCTGTTACTTCTGCTGGGGCGAGATGTCATCACTCTGCACTAGGAGATACTACACCTCTGTGCAAAGCAACAGCTTTTACAGAGTTGAGATCAGCGATAACATGCTGTGCTGTGAGGCAGCCTGCTGTGTGGTGGCTGTACAAACTCAACAAAATCTGGGAGCAGCTCCAGGGAGATCCCACACCAATAAATCTGTGCACTGGTACTGATTAGAAGGTAGGATGGTGAGATTTTTATCAGAGTGGGCTGGTGGAAAAACAGGTTCTCTGCCTATTGCTAAAGCGGGTGATATTAGGGAAAATCTCACAGTTGCTAGGACAGAGCAGAGGCTTTGAGAAATAACACATGGATCAACCTCCTGCCTCATATGCTTCCCAGGCCTTTGGTTTTGAAAGTGGAGGCATGGAACTGCAGCAAGAGAGCAGTACTTGGAATTTTCACACTGGAACGTGAGGAGTGGCTGCTCCTGGAAAAAGTATCAAACAAGGCATGTTTGAATGCTGGATGGTCTTGAGAAGTATCTATCAAGATGTGATCACCACCGTTTTCCTCTAGTTGAGGAACTTTATACTCCAGGCCAGCAGGCTAGCCTGAACTGTGGCAGAGACCTGGATTGAGAAGAGGGGTCATCCCAAATCACTCTAGAAGAGAAGGATATGTGGAAGACGGGAAATAAATTAGTCTTGTGCCATACACAGGCAGAAGGCACAAAAATGCCTGTAGTTCACAATATGGAGATCCACAGAGCCATGGAACTGAATGTATCTGTTGGATACTTCTCTCAGCAGAGTCCTAATGATGTTCTTTAGGAACCAGATAACTCTGCAAAGTTTCTGTGGAAAGAGGGGACATTTTGCCCTAATTGCAAGCAAATCTCATTGAGTTGATCTGACTTCATTTGCCCTTGCTGCTTTTGTCTGTCTAAGCATGAAGAGGAATGTTCCCCATCACACTTTATCTAGTTATATTAACAGAAGACAAGGAAAGGAAGGATTCTGATAGGCATAAGCTAAAATTTTCATTTAGGGACTGTGTATTTGTTCCACCTATGGGAAACATATATTTTATTATGTCATTCATTCAACTGAAGGTAAAATTATTAACACAGACCACATGGAAGATGCTGTGCTGAAGGAAGATGTTTGAAAGGACAAAAATAACAAAGAAAAAGATAATTCACTAACTGCTCTAGTTGCTGTAAGAATTTTGGTTGCAGCCAGGAAAGAATCTCAAAGCAAAAGAAAACATTTGTGCACAGAGGAGGTGAAAGATATGATGAGAAGTGGGTAGTAAAAATGTATAAGCATGGAAAAAAGAGCTTATGCCTAGACCTTGTTTAGGGATGCTGTTCACACAGATGCACATTCTTTAGCTATCAAAAAAGCCACACCATACCTCATATATTCAAGGGACAGATACCGGAATGTACAACTTGAATTTCTTTTCTGTTTCTGTATCTTCTGTCTTTCAAGTCTGAGTTCTATCCCTCTAGTAAATCTTATGGTTGAAATATTAAGACATTTAGGGTCCCAGCTGCCCCAGCCAGAGATTACTACCTCATGCTCACACCTGTCATTGTGCTGTGTATCAGCCTGGACGTATTCGCAGTCGCCAAGGGTGTCTGAGAAGAGGCATCAAATAGAGGCAAATATTCTCCATCACTTCTAGTCACTTCTAGGTTGGGAGGGTGCAGCAGTCATGACAGAAAAGACATGTGAGTACAGCCTTGATACCGAAGTGTCTTGTGGAGGCATGTTAGTGCAAACCATTGGTGGAAACAGGATTGAGCTGACTTGCCAGAATATGAGCTGCAGAGACTAAAGGCAACCATACAGTTTCTTCTTTTGCCTCCACTGAGAGTGGGAAGACAATTATTGCATGACATCATCTTGGTGACCTGTCAGAATCAAAATCTTTGACTTCACAGCGTCAAAGATTGTTTAAGAAAAGGGACATGAGCAATGAAATCATATAATAAATGTCAGTTTACTGAATATTGAATTCAGCTACCTAGCTGGTCTGCTTTCTACTTTTTCACTGTGACAAACAATATTAACCCATTAAATAATAACAAATAATAACACTTTGCAAAGTTTAGCCCTAATACGTTCTGTCTGGCTAGGGGAGCAAAAAACTTCAAATATAATTAAAAAAATATCTACATAAGGGATTTTCTTAGTGCTCATTTAAGGCCATGTCTGCAACAAAAAGATAAATAATGTAAGGCATTAATTTAAATTTAAACAGTAATGCCAAGAGGTTTCTCTGTGTAGAAAACTCTCTTCCAAAATGAGAACTTTTATTCTCTTGTGAATTTATCACTCTAAAAGTTGTCTGCATAAGAAGGGTCCCTTCACACCAAGAGGAAAAGGTTTGTAAGGCAAATTCTGCTAGTAAAATGTTACAATTTCAATATACCAGTTATGAGTAGTAAGATCCCTGCAAGAAGCCAAGCTTTTAGTGTGATTCTGCTACTCTACTTTCTGCAGGTAGAACTGTAAGTATGGGTTCTGGGGATTATAGGAAAAGGAGCCCTGTGCCACCATCTTCTGGCAAAATCAAGGAATGGACAGGTTGAATTCTGTCTCATTTTGAAACCAGAAAGAACAGTAGCTTTCTGGCTTGCTGTTACTATGTCAGTGAGGATTTTGATTTTCTTGTTAAATTTTAGCTGCAGGATTGGTGAAATGCTGCAGTTGAACTGACTGCTGTGACTCGGGAGTAAAGGTTTAGTATTATGGTAGGTAGCTCATATACAGACCAACTCCATAGTAGGGAAGAAGACAAACTAAATACTAGAAATTACTGGGAAAGAAAAAAAGAGCAAATCAGTTGGAACACTGTGCCACTGTCTAAATCTCTGGATTATCCACATGTGGGTTACAGCATGTAATTCTGATCCTATAATAACAGAAAGGATGAGAACTGCAAAATCTTTAGAATAAGGTGGTAAGGTTAATCAAAGGTCTGGAACAGCTCCTGTTTGAGGTGACAGATCTTCAGTCTGGAAAAGAGAGAATTCAGAGTGCATAAAGAAGGCAAAAATTATTTGTGCCATAGATCAGGTGTATAGAGACAATGTTCACCATCACCACATCTAATGTTAGAGCTACAGACCATCACATGAAGCATGTAGCAGCCAGGTTCAAAGCCAATAGAAAGAGGTGGTTCTACACAAAGCAGACAGTGTATATGGAGTGTCACATTGCAGGGTGATCCTGCAACCCCAAAGGTGTACCAGCCCAGTACTTGTTCCTCATCTGTTCCTAACACAGACAAATTCCAGGTGATAAATATGGCATTTTTAAGGGCACGTCTTCATTCACAATGCAGCCTAGTAACCATAAGCTTGCTGGGTAGATATTCAATATTTATTTTTTCGATTTCATGTACTGTCTCTTCTAGACTTCACAAGAGTAACTACTGATAAGGAGCCCTTCTTTATGGGAGTCTGGATAACTGGTGAAGTGAGAAAGGGCAAGATTTGGATGTGAAGGCAGGGCATCTGTTTGGGAGTGGACAGCCCATGGGGAAAGGTCTGGGGAAAAGAACTTGTAGAAGAGAGCT